TTTCTCCGCATCCTTGCCAGCATTTGTTGTTCTTAGTCTTTTGGATGGTGGCCATCCTTACTGGTGTGAGGTGGTATCTCATTGTTGATTAGTGATGTGGAGCATCTTCTCATGTGTCTGTTGGCCATCTGAGTTTCTTCTTTGGAGAACTGTCTCTTCATATCCTCTGCCCATTTGTTAATCGGGTTATTTGGTTTTTGGGTGTTGAGGTTTGTAAGTTCTTTATATATTTTGGATGTTAACCCCTTGTTGCACATGTCATTTACAAATATATTCTCCCATACTGTAGGATGCCTTTTTGTTTAGTTGTTGATGTCCTTTGCTGTACAAAACTTTTTAGTTTGATGTAGTCCCATGAGTTCATTTTTGCTTTTGTTTCCCTGTCTCAAGGAGATGGGTTCAGGAAGAAGTTGCTCATGCTTATATTCAAGAGATGTTTGCCTATGTTGTCTTCTAAGAGTTTTATGGTTTCATGACTTACATTCAAGTCTTTAATCCATTTCGAGTTTACTTTTGTATATGGGGTTAAACAATAATCCAGTTTCATTTTCTTGCATGTAGCTGTCTAGTTTTGCCAACTGTTCATCATCTTGATGAAACTGGATCTACTTCTGGCATCTAGCTTATATCTCAGCCAAAATGAAAGGTGTTCACTGCTGTGGCTTTGGTAGAATTTTAGCTTGTTTAATTATCTGTGTGTGTGTCTTAACATTTTGACCTGTTAGAAAAGCAATTTTTGCAAATGCAGCAGAAAGCAAAATGAAGTGGTGAAAATGAAAGTAACCCATAAATTCTGCTATGTGTAACCTAAGTAATAATTTACATTAATAATGTTTGAAAAAATTGGATCATACTTTCCTTATACCTTTGGTGCTTGCTTTATTCACTTAATATCTTTGTCATGATGGTATATATAGATATACCTTATTCTTTTTAAGGACTGTACTAGGATTCTAGATTTTGGGTTATGAATGTGTGGTAATTATTAGTCTCCTGTTAAATGCCTCATTATCAGCATGCTAACTTCCAGATGTTGTGCAGGCGTTAACTTTATTGTCATTCAGGAACGGAAAAGAAACGATACCCCGAATCCAAACTAGCTGATTACCACTCTGGTCACTTGAGAACCCAGGTCTCTCTAATAAATGTTCTAGTCCAAGGTAGTGTTGAGTACATTGTTTTCTTTTTTATCCTCTATTTTTTATTTAAAAAAAATCTCAAACCTGTCAAAAAACTGAAGGAGTACCATAGTGAACATTTCACTCATCTAGCTTCCTTACTGATAGTTGTATGTACTGATAGATGTACCCTTAAATATGTGTGCTTTTTTCCCCCAGAATCATTTGAAAGTGCTATCAAATACTGGTACTTCACTCCCAATATTTTAGAACGTATGTCTTAAAAGCAAGGCATTATTTTACATGACCACAATATCATTATCATAGTCAAGAAACAGCATTGACACAGTAGTATATACAGTCCATATTCAAATTTTCTCTAGTTATTCCAAAAATATTCTTCATAGCTTATTTTTCTCAGTCCAGCATACAATCATGAATCATGCATTATATATGATTGTCTTGTCTTTTAAAAATCTCCTTTAATGTAGAACAGTTCCCTTGTTTTGTCTTTCATGGCATTGATATTTTTTAACAGTCCCGGTCAGTTTTCGTGTAGAATTAAATACGTTTTTAAAGGACTAGAAAAGTGCAGAAGTCTTGGTTCTTTCCAGACTTCTTTATGCTTTGCTGCTAGATCGTATCTGCTATTGCATGTTGTAGCGCAGAGCCACTCAGCAGTGAAGATGGGAGTGACGGGATGTTTTGAAGTGGTCTGCCTAAGGGTAGTTTGGTCAGGATCTTGCCTGTTACAAGCAATAGGAAGATGCAAATTTCTTAACTTTCTTTTCTCACTTTTCCTTTTGAAGGTGGTAGTGACACCTCTGAAATCCTCTGGCATTTTCTTTGCCTCAGTTTTCGCTTGTGCTAAGGTAAAGCATGTACGGAATGGCTTAGTACTTTTTCTCCCCATTGCTGGAAATTTCTTGTAGTGGGCTGTCAAAATCAGAATTATATTTATCCACTTGGCTTTGCTGCTTAGTTGAAAATACAAGTTTTTCCAGTTCTGGATACATTGTGTGGCCTTATCTGTGATTTCCAAAGGCTTACTGGTAAACTGTGGAGTCTTTTTGGGTATGTCACACGGTTCTTCCTCTGATAAAAAGTTGTTCTGGGTAATGTGATGGTACATTCGACACTTTACTTATAGGTGCTTGCCTCCATCTTCAGAGCTAGTCCTCAGGGATGGATGGGATAGATGAAATCTGTCCATGCTTTGAATTGCTTTTCTTAAGCTTTTCCTAAAGTCAACTGTCAGTGTCCATCATTGTCTGGTTAG